CGAGTATAAAAATAAAACACTATATACATCAATTATACACTGATTCTTATTAATGCAACCGTATTAAAGTTCAAGAGCAGTGAGGGATTTTTCTTTGCATGGTGGTGTTTTATTAACATTAAAGGGACGGTTCACGCAAAAAAAATTACAATTCTGTCATCGTTAGCTCACTCTCACGCCGTTTTAGACCTGCATGAGTTTCTTTCTTCTGTTGAATATAAAAGTCTTCTTTTGTGTTCGGCACAAGAACGAGATTAATGCAGGTTCGGGACAACATGAGAGCGAGTAAATAATGACGGGACTTTCATTTTTGGGGACATTTGAGACGCAGATCCACTCTCTGACAGCAGGGGGCGCTCATACAGCAGCAGACACAGCGTTTCCGCCGCAAACACCGCAGCGCTGCGCTACTTTAATATTCATTTGAAACGTTTCTGAAGACAGTCAGTTGCCCTCAGACACAATTCAGTATTTAGCATTTTTCCCCAATATTTCGCGCATGAAGTGAGTTTCTCCGCCTGCTGCAGTATTTTCTCTAGTGATGGGAGAAACTAAGCTTTTCGACGCATTGAACCAGTTGCTGATTCGATGTTTCGAGGCACGCGCTGGCGCCACCTGCTGGTGCAAACCTTGTACAAGCATCAAGAACTCAGAACAAACTTGCAAAACAAATGGAAATCTGTTTTTTTAGAAATACCATTTTTTAAAATAAATAATAAACACTTAAATACTATTAAATATTAGTGCTTGTGTTATGTGTTTTAAGTATAATCAAACACAATGAACTAATTGATTTAATGAATTAACTGATTTGTGTAATTATTTAATTAAGTGTTTTCATTAGAGCTGTCTATAAAAACCAGCAGGCTAGAGTAGTGTTATCAGTCAGGAGAAGGCGGTGGATTTAATTCTATCGTAAGCTCATTTTGTTATTGTTAAGGTATGATGCGATTCGTTGAAAGTACTGAATGTTTGTTTTTACACATTTTTTAAACTATATAGCCATCTGTGTTAAAGGGAAGCTATCTTTTGTTTAACCCACAACATCTGGCCCTGAATTCTGTATTTTTTTAATAGTAAAATTTCGTGGGATTTCATGTCACATGATTAACTGGGCAAGTGGTTCGTGGGTTCACTTTGAGACCAACACCCCCTAGTGGTGAACCATCGGCGTTTCGAAACAGTGTGACGTAACGAAGCTTCGTTTGCTCAAATCACGTGACCTGGCCGGTTTGATGCGTGCTCCGAAACACTGATTCGAGACAAAAGATTCGCAAATCTTTCGAAGCTTCGTGAAGCAGTGTTTCGAACGCGCCCATCACTACTTTTCTCCTCTTTGCGTCCGTTTTTTAAGGTCCCTGGCTTCTGTTAATGGCTGCTTGCATTTGGTTTATTTGCCCAGTTAAAGAATTAGTTGTGTGTTATTAAAGCAATAATCCCTGAGAAGCCATGGTTTACAGTGAACAGCTAAGGGGCGTTGTTAGGTACGACGGTAAAACGTACTGAGTTTTTCCACTGGACGGTACGACTCAGCTTGTGTTTCCACTGCAGTTTAGTACCGCTTTAGAGTGGATTATAGACATGTCGTTAACCTTTTCATTCCGCGTCGTCCCATCAAGCTCTCGCTGGATCCGCTCCTCGGCAAGAGGAACGTCTGTACTTCCTCAACAGACCACAAAACGCCCATTATTTTGTTGTTTAAAAAAAGGTGCGCTCGTTCGAATCTGTTGCGTTCGTTTCAAAAAAGTTAAATCTAGCGGGTCTAGTGTCTCGTGTCGCAGGTAGTGACTATTCTCTCCGGCCAATCTGCAGGGTTTACACGTCACATTTTGGTAACGGTACGGTTCACTTGGAACCTCAGCCAAGGTGGTACTGAAAAAAGTACCAGGTACTGAACCCAGTGGAAAACTCCCCAAAAGCGAGACGTGCCGTGGAAAAGCGCCATTAGGCTGCTGTCACTTTAAGAGCTGCATGCGTCCGTTTCTCTCTCAGCTGTTTCTTTCTCTTTAGACATAACCATCTGTGTTTATATGTAACTCTTGTGTGTTTTTGACAGTATTAGTGCAGTCAGACGTGAAAGATAACTGTCCAGTAATCAGGAGCTATTTGACAGGATTTTTTTTTCAGGTGTACGCGCTCCGAAAAAAGTGCATGTCAGAACAGCACGAGAATGAAACGTTTAACCGGCAAGACTTTGAAGCACATGCAAATAATGTACTGTTGTTGTGATTGTGAATAAGTGCAGTGTGCGTGAGTGTAACTCTACCGCTGAGTAACATCTGATGTGAATGTGTGTGTCGTTGTTCAGTAGATTGAGACGGAAGCGTCAGTAGGGTTGGGTACCAATATGGCACCGGTACCTGTGTAACCAGTATGCACTAGAACAGAATCAGAACACAGATTTCGGTGCCTCATGTCGGTGCAATGCCTGAGCGATCGATTGAAATATGTGTCCTCTGGTTCTTCGAAACGGACGTGAGAAGCATCATCACCGGCACCGCACGAGAAAAATAATTCCCCGACTGAGAACACGCACGTGAACTCAAGTGGGAAAGCTCTAATAATACAGATCCAACACATCTTTGTAGTAACGAGAGTGTCCATGTTGTTTCACATTCAGACTTAAAAGCACAACTCTGGAAACGAGAGCATCGAGGAGTGCGTGAATGCAGTAATTACACTTGCTCTGATGCCTTACGTTAACTAAGCTAAACATGCTTACATTAAAACGCCTAAAGCTAAACCTCCCTTGTGTTCACATTTCTAAACCTGTTGTCAACAAAAGAGAACATTATAACCTTTTTACTCCACAACACCAGCCACATGCTTCCTTCTGTGATCTGATAAGGCTTCTTGTCACAGAACGAGGCAGAAAATATGTTCCACAGGCTACTTTAAAAAGAATGCTTCGATAAGCAATGGATTATAAATATACTTAACTATTATGAACATACCAGAGATGGCTTGAATAACACAGATAAACTATATTGTCGCAGTCGAGTGTTTATTGTCTTTGTTTGATCATTCAAAACGTTTATATGTTCGGTTTACTCGGTTACAGCTATAATAGCGATGTCTTTGTGCATATGAGGGATTTCCTGGAGGGTGGTGAGCTCTGTGCTTCTGTGGCTGGATGTGTGGATTCTCTGTGCGAGGGCGCCCTCTGGCATCCAGACATCGTGTGTTTATAGTGCTAATGGCCAATCCATCATTTTTGGGGGAATTTTTATTCATTTATTTTTTAATAAATATGGGTTCAGGCACCGGAACCGCTTTAAAAGTACCAGTATCGAAAAAACCCCCAAACGATACCCAACCCTAGGCGTCCTGATAGACCTGATACTACCATATTCCTTCAAAAGCAGATCATGGCGACATTTTAATCGTCCACAAACAAGAATCATGATATCGCACACCCCTGATTTGAACTATTATTTGACACTTTTTCTTTTAGATTGCCGTGTAGAACGTGTCCTGCTGTATTTGACCCCAAAATCAAAGTAATAAAGAAATGATATTTTGTAGCTGCTGAACAGCTGTTATCAGATCAGCCCAGTTTTATTCTCTCAGAGTCACCGGTTTTGTCTGGTTTAGGTGTGTTTTTGGCCGGTTTGACTCGTATGGCGTCGCTGGAGAGAGTTGAGCTCTCTGTGGTATTGATCTCTCGTCCCTTGTTCTTTCAGGACTGTTTCACCAGTGGGGACCGTCCCCGGTGGCCCAAGGTAGGAGAAGTCTGCTGTATTCATGTCATGTTATTACACTGGGACTGTATTTGGGATTGACTCTAGTCACTCTCTCAGACAGCGACATTTACCTTGAGATCCGCTACTGAACAGTCACATTATGTTTCACGATAATAATAGACCAAGCTGTGCACGGCTCACTGCACTTTCAGAGACACGTCTATTCATCAGAGACACATTAAACTGATCAAGAGTGCCAGTAAAGACATTTATAATGTGACAAAAGATTTCTGTTTCAAATAAATGCTGTTCTTCTGAACTTTCTGTTCATCTGTGAATCCTGAAAAATAAAATGCATCACAGTTTCCACAGAAATATTGTGCAGCACAATTCTTTTCAACATTGATAATAATCAGAAATGTTTCTCGAGCAGCAGATCAGCATATTATACTGATTTCTGAAGATCATGTGACGCTGAAGACTGGAGGAATGATGCTGAAAATACAGCTGCGCATCACAGAAATACATTACAGTTTAACAGAGAGAACTGCCGTTTGAAACTGTAATAATATTTCACAATTTGAGCACTTAACAACCGTAACTGTGTTTCTGTGTGTTTGTCTAAAGGCCCTCCGTACGTGGAGATAATCGAGCAGCCGAAAGCACGAGGGATGCGTTTCCGCTATAAATGCGAGGGTCGATCGGCCGGCAGCATCCCAGGAGAGAAGAGCAACGAGTCCACAAAAACACACCCCGCCATCAAGGTGAGACGCTGAGATCGCTCCTAAACACAGAGACACATGCTGTACCTGATACGTGACACCGTGGGTCACGTGACTCTCTGCGCCTCTTTTCATAGGTTCACAACTACAGCGGGCCGCTGAGAGTGCGCATCTCCTTGGTAACCAAGAACCAGCCGTACAAGCCACACCCACACGAGCTGGTGGGCAAAGACTGCAAACACGGGTATTATGAGGCCGACTTACAGGAGCGACGGATACACAGGTTTGTGTGTGTGTGTGTGTGTGTGTGTGTGTGTGTGTGTGAGAGAGAATGTGAGGGAGTGTGTGTGAGAGAGAGAGAGAGAGAGTGTGTGTTTGTGTGTGTGTGTGAGAGAGTGTGAGAGAGTGTGTGTGAGAGAGAGAGAGAGAGAGTGTGTGTTTGTGTGTGTGTGTGAGAGAGTGTGAGAGAGTGTGTGTGAGAGAGAGAGAGAGAGAGTGTGTGTTTGTGTGTGTGTGTGAGAGAGTGTGAGAGAGTGTGTGTGAGAGAGAGAGAGAGAGAGTGTGTGTTTGTGTGTGTGTGTGAGAGAGTGTGAGAGAGTGTGTGTGAGAGAGAGAGAGAGAGAGTGTGTGTTTGTGTGTGTGTGTGAGAGAGTGTGAGAGAGTGTGTGTGAGAGAGAGAGAGAGAGAGTGTGTGTTTGTGTGTGTGTGTGAGAGAGTGTGAGAGAGTGTGTGTGAGAGAGAGAGAGAGAGAGTGTGTGTTTGTGTGTGTGTGTGAGAGAGTGTGAGAGAGTGTGTGTGAGAGAGAGAGAGAGAGAGTGTGTGTTTGTGTGTGTGTGTGAGAGAGTGTGAGAGAGTGTGTGTGAGAGAGAGAGAGAGAGAGTGTGTGTTTGTGTGTGTGTGTGAGAGAGTGTGAGAGAGTGTGTGTGAGAGAGAGAGAGAGAGAGTGTGTGTTTGTGTGTGTGTGTGAGAGAGTGTGAGAGAGTGTGTGTGAGAGAGAGAGAGAGAGAGTGTGTGTTTGTGTGTGTGTGTGAGAGAGTGTGAGAGAGTGTGTGTGAGAGAGAGAGAGAGAGAGTGTGTGTTTGTGTGTGTGTGTGAGAGAGTGTGAGAGAGTGTGTGTGAGAGAGAGAGAGAGAGAGTGTGTGTTTGTGTGTGTGTGTGAGAGAGTGTGAGAGAGTGTGTGTGAGAGAGAGAGAGAGAGAGTGTGTGTTTGTGTGTGTGTGTGAGAGAGTGTGAGAGAGTGTGTGTGAGAGAGAGAGAGAGAGAGTGTGTGTTTGTGTGTGTGTGTGAGAGAGTGTGAGAGAGTGTGTGTGAGAGAGAGAGAGAGAGAGTGTGTGTTTGTGTGTGTGTGTGAGAGAGTGTGAGAGAGTGTGTGTGAGAGAGAGAGAGAGAGAGTGTGTGTTTGTGTGTGTGTGTGAGAGAGTGTGAGAGAGTGTGTGTGAGAGAGAGAGAGAGAGAGTGTGTGTTTGTGTGTGTGTGTGAGAGAGTGTGAGAGAGTGTGTGTGAGAGAGAGAGAGAGTGTGTGTGTGTGAGTGTGAGTGTGAGTGTGAGTGAGTGAGTGTGAGTGTGTGTGTGAGTGTGAGAGAGTGCGAGAGAGTGTGTGTGTGTGTGTGTGTGAGTGTGAGTGAGTGTGAG